TTGTTACAGATGTTTCTCCTTTTTCTTTCATTGACACACTCCTCCCAGCCCCTCACCCCCACTCCCACCCCATCATTGTTGTCTATGTCCTTGGTTAGGCATACATGCATATAAATTCTATGGTTTATCTCTTCCCTCTTCCCTCCTTCACCCACCCCAATGGTTCTTACGTTGACATTAGTGATTCCCTGCTGCTATTTCCTTGTATATTGTAAGTTTTTAACTACAATTTTGAGATGATTGAGATGTACTTGAAATGCATATATTTTTTTGAATTAGTGTTTTGGGTTTCTTTGGATATATACCAAGAAGTGAAATTGCTGTCATAAGGCAGTTCTATTTTTTATTTTTTGAGGGCTGTTTATAATGTTTTCCATAGTGGCTGCACCAATTTGCACTCTCACCAACAGTGCACAAGGGTTCCCTTTTCTCTACATCCTCATGGACACTTGTTTGTTGAGAGACCTGTGTTCTTTTGACATGTCCTCATGGTCTTTAATGTCTTCCCTGCTCTCAGAGAAAACCAGATGTTCCTGGTTCACCTTGTACATTTCCTGCGCTGGCCTGGAACCACCATTTCTACAAGAAGCCTTGGCTCCTTCTAGTGAGAAGGTACATTTAAAAGTGCTTATTGCCTCCTCATTGGTTATTTTTTGCAGGCATCTTCAGTGGAGAGAGTTAATGAGTGTCTGTATTAGTGTTAGTAAGTGTGGCAGTCATATTCCAAGGTGGCCCCTACAATGCCTGCCCCCTTATATGCAGACCTGTGGCCCTCTCCCCTTGACTGAGTGCAGGATCTGTGACTGGCTTCTAAACAAAAGTTTGGCGAAGGTGACAAATGGTCACCTCCACGATAACCTTAAGATTGTAACCCATTTTTCTAAGACACACACTCTCTCTCCTTTGCTGGCTTTAAGGAAGCACATGGCCACACTGGGAAGGTCGACTTGGCTAAGAATAACCTTTAAGGAACTGACAGCTGCCAATAGACACTTGAACTTGAAAGGCGGTCTTCCCCGGTTCAGCCCTCAAATGGGACAGCAGCCCTGGTGACACCTGGATTGCAGCGTGATGAGGTCTGAAGCAGAGAATCCAGCTCAGCTGTGCCCAGATCCTGACCCACAATTATGAGATGTGTGCTGTTTTAAACTGCTAAATTTGCAGTCATTTGTTATGCAGCAGTTGATAACTCATCCAATAACTCATTTAATTTTCTTTTTAAATTACAAGAGATCCATAATGGAATCAATAAGTCAAGTACGCTAAGAGCAGGGTCTGACAGAAAGTTCACACAGCAACGCTGTCAGTGCCAAGATATGCCCCCTGTAGTAAAAGTTAATGTGTATAAATTGACTGTGTGGCCTCCAGCTATGTCCCATGAGCTTCAAAAAATGGGATGACAGCCCTGGCCGGTTTGGCTCAGCGGTTAGAGCGTTGGCCCAAGGACCAGAGAGTCCCGGGTTCAGTTCCTGCTAAGGGCACATACCTCGGTTGCAGTTTGTCCCTGTCCTCAATTAGGGTCATGTGGGTGGCAACCAGTTGATGTGTCTCTCTCACATCAATGCTTTTCTCTCTCTCCTTCCTGCTCTATCTGTGGATAAATGCAAAAATGTCCTTGGGTGAGGATAAAAAAAAAAAAGGGATGGCAGGAAAGAGAAGCAGTAGAAGGGAGTCAAGGAGACTGGGTGCGTAGGAGACTAGGTGCCTAGAGTCCCTGCCACGTAAACTGTACCTGCCTCATTTTCACCCCAGGAGAAGGCAAAGAAGAGCTCCCAGATGACTCAGCCTAGGGAAGAGAGGACCCAAAACCACCCTGTCCCTGCCAACGTCTATAATTCTGTTAACTTCTCAAATTAGACAGACAGCACTTTTCTGCTCACCAAGCCAGAAATACGAGCCTCCCCAGCTGTGTGGGTTGGGCCTTAGAGGTCCTGGCTCTGGATATTATGGTCAAACCACACTCTATGGTGTCACAACCAGCAGAAGAATGGATCTGGGGGTGTGACCACATCCACTGGAGAGGAAGAGCATGCACACGCCTTGACTTCACCTAACCAGGCTTCCTTAACCTACCCTGTGTCCCTCCAGCATCCATTCATACCCCTGGAGACTAGGAATCTCATGTAGGATCCCTGCTTTATGACCAGTTAGTGGGCAAAGCCGTGTTCTTCACATGGTGGGATGAAAACTGGCCAAAGCCAGCTGTGGACACAGCATGGAGGCCAGAAGGATATTATGCATATCCATAAGAAAGAAGGATGGAAGAGGCAATACAATGGGTTCAATCACTGCCTCATAAACCTTAGAGGCCAAAAAGTCTCCTACAGAGTTTATGAAAACAGATTCCTGGGCTCCACTCACAGAGTCTGATTCATAAGGTCTGAGGAGGCCTGGTAATCTGAATTTCCATAAAGTTCCCAGGGAATGTTGGCTCTACTGATCCAGGGACTATACTTCAAGTAGTAAGGGGTTGAAGGATAGTTGAAGAATGAATGAATTAATGAATGAGACTCAGTACAGAACCCATCACCTCCACAGAACTTCAGGCATGTCTAGGATAGAACAGAAGTAGTGCACATAACACACATATACACAATCACATACATGCACATGTGCACACATATACTCACATGCAGGCACATATATAAAGATTTTCACCCATATTTACAGGAATACACACAGACGCATGAACATACAACATACAAGCAAAGAGACACAGATACACAAACAATATATACTTACATACATAGACACCCATATACATACAGACATACATGTGCACAAATGTATCAGTCAGGGTTCTCCAGAGAAACAGAACCAATAGGGTGTGTGTGTGTAAAGAGTTTTACTATAAAGATCTGACTCACATAATTATGGAAGCTAAAAAATTCCAGATCCAGGAAAGCCAAAGGTATAGTTCCAGTTTGAGTCCAAAATCCTGAGAAGCAGGAGCCAATGGTGTATGTTCCAATCTGAGTCTGTGTCTGAAAGCAGAAGAAGACTGATGTCCTAGCTTGAATACAATGAGGCAGAGAATCATTTCTTACCTAGCCTTTTATTCTACTCAGGTCTGCAACTGAATCCCACCCACAATGGGGAGGACAATCTGCTTTACTTAGTGCACAGATTCAAATGTTAATTTCCTCCAGAAACACACTCACAGACACACCCAGAAATCATGTTTAACCAGATATCTGAGCATTCCATGGGCCAGTCAAGTTGACACATAAAATTTACCATTACAACATGCATATACAAGTACATACACATATGCACATAAGTACACACTCATCTTTTTAACATACTTAGAAAAACACACACACATTCACTTTTAAACCATATAAAGACTGAGACAAAGACAAACTCCTGGACACACAGGCATACACACAGAGACACAAACACCGAGACATACATCTAGATATATGACACTATCCATGCATGCTCACACATATGCACACTTTCCCTAGAGAACCCTATAACAATGCTGGTGAGACATCAGCTCCTTCTGCCATGGCACTTTGTGACTTAATGAGGGCTCTCCTGTACCTTTGTCCCACAAGGTTGAAAGTGACGGTGCTAGGGATATGGATGACTGTACCCACATTCACAGATCAAAGGGCTAAAGCCCGGAGAAGATAATGACTGAGGGGAAGTCCCCAAACCACTCTGAGCCTTGCCCAATACTTTTGAAAGCGAAAATAACATACAGCACTAACAGCACTAAGGACCGCCTGCCTCCTGAGTTGGGCAGACACCAGTTGTGTTATACTTTCCTCTCCTCCAGCCTACTCCCCTGCCTGGGGACAAATCCCAGACATGGCGCATGTGATCAAGGCACAGGGCTTGGCAAGGAGACACCACCCTGGAGTCCTCATGCCACAGCCATTGACAGACAGAGGATGAGAGGCCAGGATGGCAGAGCAGGCCCAGCAGAACATGTTGGCTTTCACAGCAGCCACATTTTATCAAATGACACCATCTGCCATATGCTATGATAAATGTACTTTGCTGATATCAGTCCTCAGGGTAGTCAGGATCCTAGAGGATTTCAAGAGGTTACATGGCTTTTCTGAGTCACAAACCCAGATTCCTGCCTGAAATCCAGTAGAATCCAATAGGACCCATCTGGGGGCAGATCTTCCTCTGGATGGTGTTACCATGCAGGTCCTGATTCAGAGAGTTTGCCCATCCAACCACATAGGGGAGGCGGTGCATGCCTGGTCCAGATGGCACTGGGATCACTGAGGCTTGGGCATTTCCTGTGTTGCCCATGAACCGCCCATACAGCTTGCTCTACCCAGGCCCTGAGCATTTACTTGAGAAAGTCCCCAAATCCTCATCACAATCCTATCAGAGGGATACTGAAGCATAAAGGCTGTCGCACACCTAAGGTCACCTGGATATTAACAGTCTGAGCTAAATTTAAACAAACTCGGGCCATCTGGCTCCAGAGCCCCACTGCTAATTGCTGAGCTGGCATGTAAACAGGTACTCGGCTGGGACACTAGAACCTGTTCTTTCTTGTCCTTCACCAGCTTTGAGCCAAAAATAGGCCATGATCCATCAGTCAGCAAACACTGCTCCTTTCCCGATTTCTGGTGCAGAAATCACCAGGGGCAACATGTGCCTTGACCATGTTCATCCTCTGAAACTGCATTCTTCACCCTGGTTCCTGCCTGCCCATTTCTAGGTAGTGGGGATGTCCACTCACACCAGCAGGCAGTCTCCTGCAGGAGGCACTCAGAACCTCAGAAAATTAGTGAAGTATGGTTTGCAGAAGAAAATCCAAGTGATTCTGCCTCTGAAAATCCCTCATAATTTTCTTTTAATGCAATGTCTCTTCTATGTGTTTCCAAGGTAGAAAATCATAGTGGTTTTGTTCTCAGGTTTCATTTCTCTTCCTCCTCCCCTTGCAAAGAATTGCATTTTAGAAACTTGAATAAAGGAAGTGGTTGACTTTGTAGCCAATAGATGTGGAGGTGAAGAGCTTCTTGGTCAAAATGATTTAGCAAGAAACCACCACCGTCACCCAAGAACAAGGCAGGCAGCCCCCACCCAGGTGGGGCAGTTTTCAGGGTCCCCCACCACCACCACCACTCTCCTCAGCACCGCCTTTTCCGTGAAGCCATGCTGCCGGCCTGGGCGCTGCTTGCTTTCTGCAGCTTCGTATTAAGCACCACACGGGATGTGTCCCCAGGTAAGTGGAGGGTCTCCCCAAGGTTCTGCCACTATCAGGCACAAATCCAAGATTGCTGGAGGGAGCCAGCATGCCATGAGTTTCTCCTCCTATGCAGAGTCCCAGAAGCACAGTCCAGATTGGGCAACTCCAGTAGAAGGTGGGGCTGCGAGGCACCAAGGGCCCAGTTCTGGGGATAGCTGCCTTCCAGGGGTTCAGGAATGGGGGTTGGAGTGCCTCCTCGGGATGAGGGGAGGGACCTCTGTTCTCAGCTGCTCCTGGATCCAAGGGAGGGTCTCCCCTCTATGGGGACAGAGCTTTGGGTGTGGTTAGGCAGTTTCCATCATATGGCTAATCATTTTTGCCTGCTGGCTGCTGTCCTGTGACTTAGTTTTAGGGACCCTGATGATCAGCACTGGCCTGATGTTATCCTTCCTGCCAGGTCAGTGCTGAGAGGAAGCAGGGGAAGAGAGAGCCTTTGCTCCTGGAAACTGAGGCATAGCTAGAGTAGGTGACTTGCCAAATTCATATAGCCAGTGGATACCTGCCTACACACACACACACACACACACACACACACACACACACACACTAGTAGAGTTGGAGATGCCTTCCCAGCACCAGAATCATAGGCCATGGATGATGGTGAAGATCTACCGGGTCCCTATCTGACCTCCTCCTTAACCATTGAGGAAGCTGGTACTGGAGGACTGAAGTGATGCTCAAGTCACATAATCACTGCCTAGGGAGCAGGGGCAATGTCCAGGGGGTGGCTGGTTTCTGCCCTCCTTCCTCTTTGGAAGGGGGCTGGCACCTGTCCACAGGAGGCCAGGTAGAGGGTATTCAGGAAGGACCAGTAACAAGAGGACAGCCCCTAAGCCTCTCAGTCTGTGGAGGGGTCACACCCCTCTTGGTGATACTGACTCAGGCCTTTGGACAGTTTCAGGTGGCTGCTGCACTTAGGAACTATGGGGTATTCTGCCTCCTCTCTCTCCCCACTCCTAGAGCTTTGCTCTTAGCTCACACAGTAAAGCCCTGACCCCCCTTTCCAGCCTGTACTAATTGGATGTCATTGTCTTCCTGTGCCCTCCTAGTGCCCATAGGAGGAAACAAGACAGGAGAAGAAAGTGGATGCTCAGACCAGAGAAGAGCATTCCTTCTCAATCCTTAGTGAAGGGGCTCCTGGATGGATGTGGTACCTGTCTTCTCAACTGTACTGGAATTTGTTCATAGTATTGGCAATTATTTGCTAAGTTCTTTCTGCTCACTCCAGCTTCATCCCCTAACAAACTAGGGACAGTACCAGGATTGCATGGAGAATCTTTAGCCAACTATTAGTGCTCTTTCACCAGCAGAATTGTCGCCTCTCTGCTGCTGTTTCGTACTGAACAGAGCCCTGTCCAGTGCACTCCCCCATCCATAGCTACACCTACCTCTCCCTGCAGAAGCCCTTCTCAGGCAGCCTGAGCCCTCCTGCTAAACCTGGTCTCTGCCACCAAGTCTCCGATGAAGGGTCCAGAGTCCACACTCACAGGCAGAAGACCTTGGGACACACAGATTCCCTGAGCCTAGTAATTGTGGAGCTTGAAGCCTCCCTAAGAATCAGTCTCATGACCCATGAAACGGGTAAATAACTCCATCCCCCTTGGGCCTGGAGAGGCTTGATGGGTGGACACAGAAGACATGCTTACTGAGCCTGGGGTGTTTGCAGCCACCCACCCTAGCCCTGCTCCTAAGTCTGTTTTGTCCTGGCAGACGCCATGCTGTACCACCTCACCCCATCCTACCCCAGCTTCGATCCTTTCAAGTGCTTCCTTCACTTGACAGATAAGGGCCTCAGAATGAGGGACTTTAAGTCTTCTCTCTCTGGTAGTGCAACAGAGATAGGAACTCAGCCCCAGACCTGGTTCTCTCCTCCACCCTGATCCCACCCAGCCCCACGGTTCCCACAGCCTCCCCCTCACCTTCTGAGAACAGATTCCAGAGATTTCCTGTGGTGGGGGGAGTGGGTGACAGGGACCCTTAGGGTGGCACCATCTGGACATCTGGCTTCTCCCTAAGCCTAAAAACTAAACTACACTAACTTAAATGCAGAGCCCCCAGCAGCTCTGCCTCCTAGCCCTGCAGAACTTAGAAAAATGAAAAGCCCTTCTTTCTCAACCTGCTAGTTCTCCTGGAAAGCTCCACTGGGCCACCATGTCACACTCTGCCCTCCTCACCAACCAAGCTGGCAATGGCCTATTTTCTCACATCAGGGCCACTTGGGCACAGGTCCAGAAGCCATCACTCCTTCCACCTGCAAGGTGACATCAGTCCTCGGTTACTAGTAGCAAGGGCTGGGAGCACTGTCACACCCAGAGACTATTTGCAGCAAGAGGGATCACAATGTCCCGCATCCTCAGGAGGGCTTCTGGGAACTGCTGCAGGCTCTGTCTGGGATCGTGGGGACTACTGACGCACTCTCTGCATCTTGAGATTTTTTTTTTCCCAATGGAGGACACCAATTTACCTTCAGAGACCCCACTGTAGCCATATTGCATATTTGATATAATACTCGATAATACATTATTGCATACCATTTATTGGTAGGATCTTCATCTATAACATCTTATATATCCTCACCACTACCCTGTGAGGTTGGTGCCATCATCCCATTTTACAGATGAGGACATAAGAGGCTCAGAGAGGTTAAGCAGCTTGCTAAAGCTCCAAAGCCTGTAAGATTCAAACTCAGGACATATCCCAGTGGGTTAAGGCCAGGACTAACCAGCAAGCATCCTGTTTATGCCAGAGGAGCACATGTGCCTTCAAAAGAATGGGTCTATTCGTCAGTCAGAGCCATCAGAACACTGCTGGATGGGGAGCAGCTCCATGAAATTAATGAGAGCAATGACTCACTGAATTTTGGTGTCAATATGAGAGGATCAGAGGAGTGCAGGACTCAGGATGTCATCTCCAGGTAGGCAGAGAGTGGACACCAGCCCCCCTGAGCCTGACAGTTACCACCCATCACCCCAGTCCTTAGGCCCAGACCTCCAGTCTGTGAGCTTCAGGAGCAGAAGGCCAATGGGGGCTGCCTCACTAAGGGTTTCAACACCCTGCTCACAGCAAGGGCTCCATGATGCTGGTGGAGGAAGCCCAAACAACCACCTGGAGGTAACTATGCCCAGGTCACACAGGGAGGACACCAACATGAGCTGCCAGTATTTGACTCTTGGGCACCCTGGGGTTCTCTTCTCAGGGATGATTTTACATGCTGGGGGGTTCCCTCCACCTTCAGGCCACATGTAAAACACTCTTGAAAGAGGAAGGTGGTGGGGAACCCCAGCCTCCCCTGAGTACCTCCTTTTCCTCCATCTACAGGATAGTGTACAGGGTGGACAGGCCGAAGGGAACAGGAGCTCTCTCCAAAGGGTCTGGTCCACCATATGGCTTCAGGATGTGGACATGAGGCCAGTGTCCCAGGTTCTGGGGCCCCCTACTGGATATACATCCAGCTTGTCTTAGTTTTTCAGAGAAGTAAATTAAGTGTTGTTTACCAAAAACATTCATTACTGTATTATTTTACCAACTGTTCTTTGTCAGAAAGTCCTTGTCCCATGCCTCTTATGGAACATTTGCCTGTATGTTCATGGTAATTCGAGGGCAGATTATACCTTCTTTAATCTCCCTAGAACAATTAATTGTTGCTACAACTAACATTCTGGTTATTGACAGTGTTCCCAAGCTGTGGTGTCATCTGTTCACCTGTGGATTTGAATGAAACTCTTAGCTGTTTTCCCAAAGAGTCAACACACACCAGCAGGCATATAAATTAAATCTTCCACTCACAGAGGACAGGGCAGTGCCTATGGGCATGCTAAAAGCAAATCCAGGGTTAGTATCAGTTTTGAAGGGGGTGTGGGGATGCAACAGACACAGGAATAGGATGCTGGAGTATAGGAATCACTTGTGATTTGTATAGAAAAATTACATTTTTAAGTGATAAACATCAGACTGTCCCCTTGAATTCAGCTTGCTTCCCATTTTGATCACCAGGGAGAATAGAGACCCCTAAATGTCTTTGCTACATGGAAGGTTAGAGAGAACTAAGGGTGACTGTAAAGACCATGGCCCAGGGATCCACTAGTGCAGGCCTGGCCCAGCCAGGAAATTGAGGGGATCCCTAGTCATCCCAGTTCCTGCAGCAAGGCTGTTAACAGGCAAAGGCAGAGGGTTGTTCCTAGTCACATGTTGGGTCCCAGTGCCAGCTCTCCAGGGCCTGCTGTCTGAAAACACTAACTGCAGGAGTCCACACCCAGGGGCAGAAAGTTGGCTACATCCTAATACCCTAAGGGCTGGAACTCAGCTGTCCTCCTCCAAGTCCTTCAGCATTTTACATCTGCACATTGTGTTTGTCCGCTCCTATTGTTACAACTGTGTGCCCTGGAGGCAGCACCTGGGTCTCTAGCACATCTTACTCTGCTCAGCACCCAGCCCAGCCCCTTGGTCATCCTGATGTTCTCTCCATATTCCCCAGCAGCTTCAGGAAGGGGACCCAGCTGGGTGGATGGTGCTCCTTCCTCAGCTGCACCTCCCGGCCCATCAATCTCCTGCCATTTGAGTCATTACTTTCAAAACCGAAGAGCAATTTCTTTTCTATGAGCAGTAGCGGAATCCTTTGTGGAGAGTCCTGCTCCTGAGATGGTCTGTCAGAGCCACAGTGGGGAGCAAATTTTCTCATCTTTCCTCCTTTCTGGGTGCATTTAACCTTACTTCCCACCTGACTGTTGATAAGGCCGTGTGCAGCTCAGATCCCCAGGGCCAGGCCTAGCATTGTATGTATAATCCCTGGGCCTTAATGTGTTCTCTGTACTGTCCTGGGAGTTAGGGAAGGTCAGGGAGGAATCACCCCTCATTTGGAAGAACTTCACTTCTTTCCAACTGTGAGTGGCCTGTGCCCACCCCAGCATTGTTCCTTTACAGAAGAATGTTTTGTCTCTTCTCACCAACCTGCTTCTCCCGATTGTTCTTTCAGTGCATGTCACTCAGGCCTTCATAGTGCCACCCCCAGATAAGTGACAACACTTAGTGCCTCCTACTAAGTGCTGTCAGTTCTGCATCCACATTCAGCTCTCTCTCCTCCTCACTTAGGTCATTTCCTACTACTGCTTTCTCACTGGTCTCCTCACCGACCTCCCCTCCCTCAGCGCTCTTTATGGGCAGGTTAGTCACCTTCCTGAAACCTGCCCCGGCCAGGTCTGTATACTGCTTCCCTTCTTGTACTGTGGACTCCTTAGTCTCAGAGTCATCTTGGCACTGCCCACAGAAGCTGCCAAAAAATACTTCTTGAATGAGGAAAGGTGGTCTTTAGAATTAGTCAAACCTTCATTTAAATGTGCCCTGCACTCCACTGATGCCTGTTTCCTTACCTGTAGAATGGGGATGAAAGCATCATCCCTGCAGAGGGATGAGAAGGGATTGCAGAGCAGGCCTCTCCTACTACCCTAGACTTCAGCTTCCCTGCACAAACCATAGATCCCACTCAATCCAGAGGATAGCAGGCAGGACTATGACTCCTGTGCTGACTTGAAATCAACATTCTAGGAAACATGAAGTTAAATAAAAATAAAGCAACTTCAATTTTTTCATAACTTTTTTGTAACTTTACCAAAATCACTTGGGAACTAACATTGCCTTCATCTGAGGTTCAGCCTCACCTGATTTTACTTTATTGTTTTAATTCTGCTAAATTCCAGCAAAATTAAATATGATACATTTTGTTTAAAAAAGTTAATAGTGGTTACCTTGGAGATATTGAGAATTATTTCTAACATTTTTGTTAAACTGTTCTATATTTTTCAAATTTCCCACCAAAAACAGGTAAAGCTTATAATCAGAAAAAGCAATAAATGTATTAATCCACAGTGGGGGATGGGAGACCATGTAATAACTGGAAACTCAAAAGAAAGGGGCTTTTCTTTTTTGCTGTGTAGACTTCAGTGATGAGTAGAAACCAAACTGTTTTCCAAAACAGTTTTTTGTTAAAACGAACATCCATACCTGTCTTCCTATGATCAGTAAGCACAGGTACCCCAGGAGCAGTCCTCCCCATTATGTTAGCATCAGTATGCATGGATGTCAGAAGACCTCTCAGCACCACCTGAGTCAGAGCTGCGTGAGGAGCCAATGAAATGAAGGTTTTGGAGCCTGATGCAACCTCATCAACCCAGCTCACGAAGCTCAAGGGACAGAAATAGCTTTTGTGGCTTCAGTCTTCAGACACTTCAAATGAAGTCTTCAGCTTCTGTGAGGATGTCATCTGAAATCTGGATTATTGCAAAGGAGAATCTCAGGGGCTGCTTGTGGAGGACAAAGCTCTGGGAAAACCTTGGACCAACAGATGGCCATAATCCTCTGTTGGGAAGGGCCAGGTCTTTTTGGCTGCTAAAGCATAGGAAGCCCTGCAGAGGAATCGTAAGGTTAATCTTAACATTTTGCCTTTGGTCCCAGGGAACCTGCTGGGGAAGACCAACTGGCCAAGCAGGGTCCCTTTGGTAAGGCAGTGTGGGTCCTCCGAAGGCAGCGGGACGCCCCCCAGGGTCATGGAACTCACATGGATTCACACCTTCTCTGCCCCACTCTCAGCCTCCTTCCACTGCATCACCCATAGGGGAGAGGAGACCCAGCAGGCGGGTTGCATGGGACCATCAAGCTGAGTACCCAGCCAACCTAGTTCTCAATCAGTGGGGGTCTCCTGTGCACGCCATCAAATCAGGCATTCAGGTTCCACTGCCTAGAACCTGTGGCAGTGAAAATGGCCTCCTCTGGGACCCCTCACTTTAAGCCGATGAGATTACTGGCACCCTGGGCAAGGCCTCCTCCCCATTGAGCTGAGCTTCTACCCTCTTCTCACCCTCTGCTGTGACCAGTGTGTAACCCACACCAGTTCTCTAAGAAATGTTCCAACATGCTTGAACAACTCCATCCTTTGGCTATATGGTCTATTTCAAAGATCCTGCACCCAGCTATAAAGCCTATCCCCTTTCCTCCACAAGGGCTCTGTTCCCTGGGTTCTTGGGCACAGTCTTACTGGCAGGCCACAGCTAGCACACAGCTGCACAGGGCAATATCCTGCTAGACACAAATCAAGTGGTTTAGGTTTCCAATTCCCTCAGCCTCTTCAGCCCACTGACTCTATCTAATCCCACCCATAGTACAAGGTAAAAGGCACTTCTCATATCTCCTGTTTGTCAGTCCTCATGAGTGGAGAACTCCTTATCCCTAGTGTGACATACTAGTTCAGCCCCTGGCATAATGCTTCTATTAAAGCTCCCAAGCTTTGTTATACTGCTGTTTTCCTCCCAAAGTTTTGATTTCTTCACAATCCAGGGCACCACCTGGTACCCTGACTCCCACAAAAGCCCATATCTTTGCCAGCATTATCTTCTCAGATAGCACATGTCTACAACCCAAATACACATGAGTCTCTCTAATCTTAGCCAGAGCCTATCTGTATGGAACAAGTAGGGGAGCCCAGGGCAGCAGGAATCTCTAAGCCGGAAGCTTGTCTGGTTAGCGTTGCTGCTGCCCTCACACCCCATCTCCACTTCCTGTTGCTTGAGCACCTCTGCTGCATGCTAAACCTACCTGCCTCTGCAGGACACAAGTCCCTGTCTGCACAAGCCTAGATGCAGTCACTGCCACGTGTGGCTACAGAACACCTGATACCAGCTGGGCCACCGAAAAGCTGAACTTTATACTCCATTTTAGTTAATGAAATAAAATTGCTAACTGGGCTATTGCCAGCCTTGTGGGACAGCTCAGCTCTCAATCATGTCTGGCATGCTAACATTTCAGGAAAATCTGGGGGAAAGTGTTAGTAAAGAGAAGCAGTTCACAGACCTAAAATTCCTCTTCGCACAGTCCCTCCCTCCCTATTTAGGTTTTCCCTAAAAATATTTAACCTTTTATTCTCTCTCTCTCTCGCTCTCTCTTTTTTTTTTATGGGGGGGGAGACATGGATATTAGAGAGACACAGCAAGTGGTTGCCACCCACACAACCCCAACCAGGGCCAGGGACAAACTTCAACCGAGGTACATGCACTTAGCAGGAACCGAACCCGGGACTCTCCAGTTCGCAGGCCGATGTTCTAACCACTGACCTAAACCAGCCAGGGCTTTAACCTTTTATTTTAGTATACATCTAGTACATGACCATTGTAGAAAAATTGAAAAATTCACGATGGGCCACCAACCAGAAAAGGCTATATTTACTTGCTCAAATTAACATAGACTGTGGATTTTTTACATTCCTATTTTCCTTATAATAAAATCCAGTGTTCATAACCTTAATTAGCACACACCCACATTGGGCCAGCCTTACCTCTCAGCACTTCTCCCCATGCCCTCCTTGCTTTGGCCACTTGGTCCCCGGAGCCCTGGGACACCTCTGCCCCATGGCCCACAACTGGCTCTCAGTCCCTCTATCTAGATCTGTGGAGATGGCTTAGACGAGCCCTGCATCCCTGCCAACAGATCCCTACACAGCTTCTGCCTTTCCTCACCCGCTGCTCTAATATTTTTCTTGCCTGTTTATTTGTGTAATGTGAGCTCCAGTCAACATAAGCTTCCATGCTCTTGCACATTCAGGATGAAGAGCACTCAGCCCATGGAGAGCTGAACAAAGGAGTGAAGTCAAGTTCTTCTTCAAGGAAGGGCCTTGGGTTCACCTGGGCTCTGCTGCTGTGGGAGCTGGAAGAGAATGTGGAGAGCAGAGGAGGTGTATCAGGGTCCCCGGTTCTGCCTAGCTGTCAGAGGCAGGGTATCTGATGGTAGGGGAAGCCACTCATGTTGCTTCCCCCATCTTTTATCAAAATATGGGCCTCCTCAGGGCAGAAAAAGCATAGAAGGGTGGAAGAAATCCAGGCCTTCCTCCCTCCACTATATGCTAGTTCCATAGAGTTTTGTGTGATAAATTCAGCCAGGTCTGGCCCTATCCTCAGACTTGTACCCAAAACAGTGCAGGAGACAGCACATGAGGAGTACCAGGTGCTATGGGGGCCCCTAGAAGCATGGCCTGGAAGCTGGGTAGATTCTAACAAGAATCCCTGAGATGGAGGATAGCATTAGCATTACAAATAAGAAGACAGGAGCAGCCTTTGGGCACTTTCCCATGTTCCACTTGGAGACATGCTGAGGAGTTGGAGCCAGATGTTGGCTTTAAAGTCCAGCTGCAGTGACTTCTCCTAACACTCTGAGGCTGCATCCTGTCCGGAGGCTCTGCCACCTTCACACATGTCCAGGTTTTCTTTAACACACTTTGGAAATAACCCTGGATTCTGAAGGAGGCTATGTGGGCAGGGACAGGGGACAGGAACTATACCTTTTCCATCATTATATCACCCACCTCACCTGGTCCTCAGCTTTCAGCATGGGACAACCATGGGGATGCAAAAGAATAACACTGTTGGATGAGAGCAGGACAGACCAGGGAGGGTGGACAGGAGAACAGAGGGTGGATGGGTGAAGGGACGATGGACAAGTAAGGGGAGGGTAGATGAGCAATGAACTAGATGGGCTAGGGACCACACTGGGAACAGAGAAGAGAACTGAACCCCAAGGTGTGAGGAATGACAAAGGGCCCAACTAACTGCAATCTTCTTGTCTGGTTCTGTGTTTCTCTTTCAGGTATTTGTTTTCAGACCTTTAACTTAGGTGTGAAGCCAGGATTTCCTAAAACAATTGAGACCAACAACCCAGGAGTCCTCAAAGCAGCCAGACACAGCGCTGAAAGGTTCAACAACTGCACGAATGATATCTTCTTGTACAAGGAGTCCCATGTCAGCAGAGCCCTGGTCCAGGTGAGGGTCAGGGTTCTGGCAGCCAGCATCTCAAGGCTAGGAGGCCAGGCTACAGAGGCGCCTATCCTATCAGGCCCACCTGTCCAGTGCCCTGGCCATCTAGAACACAGGAGAGGCCAGGAGGCTGATAGCAGGAGCCACCGATAGCCCACAAGCAGGCCAAACCAGTGTCACCAGAGTTGAGCAAAATGTCCTGGAGCCATCTCTTACTGAAACCAGCTTCTCTTGGGTGGAGCCACCAAAAGTAGCACAGAGGAAGGCAGGAGTGGAATGGAGACCAGAGGTGGGGAGAAACCAGAAGCTATACAACAGGAACCAACCTAATGAAGATGCTGCCCCCTTGGAGGGGCCTAATGCACCACCTGCCAGAGCTGTCCCTGCCTAGCCCCACCCTCTCCCCACATCACCTCCTCACCAGAGCCACAGCCCCAAAGGACCTTTTAACATTCTCCACCTGGAAACTTCTTTCACATCAAAGCTTTGCCCAAAATACACCCCCTTCTCCACACACAAACCCCTCCTTGTCCACCCTTACCTTAGTGTCACACCCTGTGAAACTGTCACACAGATGACTCAGTGATCTCCCTCTTAGAGGAGACCATACGGGGCAGAGCCAGGTCTTACTCATCTGTGTACTGAAAACACAGGGTCAGCTTGGGATAAGAGATGTAGAAGAATGATAAGGCACAATCAAGAGGTGGCTGGCCAGCAATCTCTGCCTTTGTTAAAACCAGGGATACTATGCAGCCATTCAAAAGAAAATTCCGAGATGGAGGCTGACTTTGGACAAAATCCACACAGATGGATGCTGAGGGAAGGAAAAAAGATGCTGATAGCTTTTACATACTATAAGTACCTGGTTACCTTTGGATCACAGAATTATAGGTGATTTTCATAATGTTCTTTATTTTTGGCAATGGCAAACCTTTTAAGAACAGTGTATTTTTTTTTTTTTTTAAGATTTTTTAAATTGATTTTCAGAGAAAGAGGAAAGGAGAGGGAGAAACATCAATGAGAGAGTAAAACATCAGTCAGCTGCCTCCTGCCTACCGGGAGGGAATCAAGCTGTAACCCAGGTAGGTGCCCTGACTGAAATAAACCAGCAACCTTTCAGTGCACAGAATGACACCGAACCAACTAAGCCACACCAGCCAGTGTATTTTTATAATTAGAAGTGTCATATAGAAGGCAATCCAGTGTGGGGAGGGTATTTTATAAGGTTTTCTATAGAAATAGCCCAAGTATCATCACTCCAAGGACACAGCTGCAGTGACCATGTAAGGCTGTGGCCTCCTGCAGATCCATAACAAGTGCAAGATGTCCAAAGCCTAGTGCCCAAGGGCCTTTGGGGGAAGAGGATGCAATACCCCTCAGTGATGTTGGGGACATAATTACACTTGGTACTTGGTGGGGTAAGACTGAAAATTGACGATTTTATCTCCAACGCCTCTGAAACCACAAATGAGGGCAAGGAACCCGATTGTTGACACATCCAAGCAAAGAAGGGCTATTTTTTTTTTATTAATTAATTTATTTTTGTTACTTTTTCCCCCACTGATTCCCTCCTCCCCTCCCTCTCTGCCCTGTCCCCAGCTTTGTTTTCCAGGTCCATTGTTCATGCATATATGCATATAAGTTCTGTGGTTTATCTTTCCCCCACAACCCCCTCTTCTGTGGACTGTCAGTCTGTAAAACAATTCCATGTCTCTGGGACTACGTCATTACTCACACTGTTATGTTCATAATATTCCACAAATAAGTGAGACCATATGATAGTTGTCTTTCTCTGTTTGGCTTGTTTCACTTATGATAATACTTCCCAGGTCCCTCCATGTCCTCTCAAAGGATAAGAGATCTTTCTTTCCTACAGCTGTGTATATGTACTCCACTGTGTATATGTACCACTGCTTTTTTATACATCTGTCCACTGCTGGACATTTGGGCTGTTTCCAGATCTTAGCTATTGTAAATAGTGCTGCTACGAACATGGGAGTACATATATTCTTTCTGATTAGTGTTTCAGGCTTCTTAGGGTATATTCCTAGAAGTGGGATTACTGAGTGAAATAGCAGTTCAATTTTTAATTTTTTGAGGTAACACCATAGTGTTTTCCATAGCGGCTGCTCCAGTCTGCATTCCCACCAGCAGTGTACTAGAGTTCCCTTTTCTCCACACCCTGGCCAACACTTGTTGTTTGATAATTTTATTGATGGCGGACATTCTGACAGGTGTGAGGTGATACCTCATTGTTGTTTCAATTTGCATCTCTCTGATGATTAGTGATGTTGAGCATTTCTTCATATGTCTCTTGGCCATTTGCATGTCCCGTTTGGAGAGGTGTCTATTCAGCTCCTCTGCCCATTTTTTAATTGGGTTCTTTGTCTTCCTTTTGTGGAGTTGTATGAGCACATTATATATATTGGAAATTAACCCCTGATCTGATACATCATTGGCAATTATGCTCTCCCAGACATTGGGTTGCCTTTGCATTTTGATGATTGTATCTTTTACTGTGCAGAAGCTATTGAGTTTGATGTAGTTCCATGTGTTCATTTTCTCCTTTGTTTTTGTTGCCTTAGGTGATGTATCAGTGAAAATTCTGCGGCGTATGATGTCGGAAATTTTCCTGCCTACTGTGTCTTCTAAAATTTTTATGGATTCATGAATCACATTTAAGTCTTTTATCCATTTTGAGTTTATTCTTCTGTATGGTGTAAGTTGATGGTCTAGTTTCATTTTTTGGCATGTAGCTGTCCAATGTTCCCAACACCATTTATTAAAGAATCTGTCTTTACTCCACTCTATGCTCTTGCCACCTTTGTCAAATATTAATTGAGCATATTGCCTTGGGTCTATTTCTGGGTTCTCTGTTCTGTTCCACTGGTCTATATGCCCATTCTTGTGCCAGCACCAGGCTGTTTTTGATTACAGTGGCTTTGTAGTATAACCTGAAATCTGGTAATGTGATCCCTTCTACTTTCTTCTTCTTTTTTAAGATTGCTGTGGCTATTTGAGGTCTTTTTTGGTTCCATATGAACTTTTGAAGTATTTGCTCTAGTTCTGTGAAGTATATTGGTATTTTGATGAGGATTGCATTGAATCTATAGATTGCTTTGGGTAGTATGGACATTTTAATGATGTTAATTCTTCCAATCCATGAACAAGGTATGTGCTTCCATGTTTTTATATCTTCCTCTATTTCTTTTTTCAATGACCTGTCTTTTTCTGAAAATAGGTCCTTTATTTCTTTAAGTTATTTAGTTAAGCTTATTCCTAGGTATCTTAATTTTTTTTTGCCACGATGGTAAATGACATTTTTTTTTAGTTTCTCTTTCTGTGAGTTCATCATTGGTGTATAAGAATGCCATCAATTTCTTGATGTTAAATTTGTATCCTGCTACTTTGCCAAATTCATTTATTAAGTCTAGGAAACATTGGATGGAGTGTTTGGGGTTTTCTACGTATCCTATAATGTCATCTGTGAATAATGACAGTTTCACTTCCTCCTTTCCCATTTGGATTTCTTTTATTTTTTCTTCCTGTCTGATTGCTGTGGCTAAGACTTCCAGTACTATGTTAAATAAGAGTGTCAAAAGTGGGTATCCTTGTCTTGTTCCTGTTAAGAGAAATGCTATTAGTTTTTGTCCATTGAGTATGATGTTGGCAGTAGGTCTTTCATATATGGCCTTTATTATGTCGAGATATGATCCCTCTATTCCCACATTGCTGAACATTTTTATCAGAAATGGGTGGTGGAATTTGTTGAATGCTTTTTCAGCGTCTATTGATATGATCATATGATTTTTATCTTTCATTTTGTTTATGTGGTGTATCACATTTATTGATTTGTGGATACTGTACTGGAATTGCATCCCTCAGATGAATCGCACTTGGTTATGGTGAATAATTTTTTTAATGTATTACTGGATTCGATTTCCTCGTATTTTTTTTCAGGATTTTGCATTTATGTTCATCAGGGATATTGACCTGTAGTTTTCTTTCCTGGTAGTGTCTTTTTTTGGTTTTGGAATTAGAATCATGCTGGTCTCATAAAAGGAGTTTGCAAATCTTACTTCTTCTTGAACTTTTAAAAATAGTTTCAGGAGAATGGTTATTAGTTCTTCGTTGAATGTTCGGTTTTCTATCTCTTCCCAATTCAGTTTTGGGAGACTGTACGTTTCTAGAAATTTGTCCATTTCACTTAGATTGTACAATTTGTATAATTGTTCATAACATTTGTTAACAATTTTTTGTATTTCTGTGATGTCAGTTATTATTTCTCCTCTTTCATTTCTGATTTTGTGTATTTAGGTTCTCTCTCTTTGTTTCCTGGTGACTCTAGCTAAGGGTCCATCAATCTTGTTTGTCTTTTCAAAGAAACAGTTCGTTGTTTTATTAATCCTTTCAATTTTTTTTTCTCCATGTCTTTTATTTCTGCTCTGATCTTTACTATTTTCTTCCTTCTACTTGCTCTGGGGTTTTCTTTTTGTTTCCTTTCTAGTTCTTTAACTTGTGAGGTTAGATAGTCTATCAGAATTTTTTCTTGCTTCTTGAGGTAGGGCTGTAGTGCTACGAACTTCCCTCTCAGAACTGTTTTTGCTGCATTCCATAGATTTTGTGTTGTTGTGTGTTCATTTTCATTGGTTCCAGGAAGCTTTTAATTTCTTCCTTGATCTCCCTGGTAACCCATCCTTTGGTCAATAACATGCCAGTTAGCCTCCACGTGTTCAAATGTATTTGCATGTTCTTGTCACAAATGATTTCTAGTTTCACGTCATTGTGATCTGAGAAGATGCTTAATATGATTTCAATCTTCTTGAACTTTTAGAGACTTAGTTTGTGCACTAACATATGGTCTATCTTTGAGACTGTTCCATGTGCACTTGAGAAGAATGTGAATTCTGCAGTTTAATAAATATCTGTAGATATTTATTAAATCCATTTAATCTAGCGCTTCATTTACAGATTGTGTTTCCTTGCTAATTTTTTGTCTAGAAGAT